CCCGGCTCTTTTTTTTTTTTTTTTTTTTTTTTTAAGGATAAACAACCAAGGGCTTTTAACCATGAAAGTATATGCCACAGATGTAAATCATGAAAGTCCATGCCACCAATGTGTAAATCATTTTTGGCTTTTTTTTTTCTTCATAGAAATGTGTGAATACAAAAGATGGTGACTTGTCATATTGGAAATATTTAAAGTCATATGTCTAAAACAGGATAGTGATTGGTATATCCAGTTAAATTCTATAGTAAATCATTAAACTATACATTTGGTAAGATATGACACACACACATATCTGTGAAAAGATCACTACAAACAAAATCATCAATACACCTTCATCTCCAAAGAACAAGTAACATTTGAATGTTCTTTTATAGATAATAAAGTTTCATTGGGAACTAAAAATTGGACTGGCAAGACAGGTCTGTGGGTAAAGGTACTTGCTCGAGTCTGACTTGCTGAGCTGTGAACCCCAGAACCAACCTAAAATAGAAGAGAGTCAGTTCCACAAGGCTTTGACCTACACACAGAGCCATGGTACATGTTAGTACACACACACACACACACACACACACACACACACACACACACACCAAAACTTAAAAATGTTTAACATTAGTAATTTACTTTGAGACATTGTAGAAACTCTACAACAGGGTTTTCACCACTTTTTACTTTTGATTATTAAAATTATGTCATTAATTAGCTCCATGGCTTTCTTGGCTCTAGCAACCACATAAACCACCACAAATGAAGATCATTATTGCTCATTGTGTGGAATGACTCTTCTGCTTTAGAAATAAAGGGGGAAAGCCCACATTTCCAATAATTTTGATTCTTTCGAAAGGAAACACCCAAACGGTCCCCCCTCAATTTGTAAGAAAAGGTTTTCTATCTAAACCCGGAGGGGGTGGGGGTGGTATAAACAATTACAATATGCTCACACATTTCTTCCTTTGTAGTGTTCTTTGTATTTGACAAGGACAGTGACAACTATGTAAGTGTGCAAGAGTGGGTGAAGGGACTGGCGGTGTTTCTCCGGGGGACTTTTGAAGAAAAGATGAAATGTAAGAAGCCATCGCTGGCTTGGCGCTGTGCCCATCGATTCTGTGTAGTGTGCTGGTGCACCAACAGATGGAGCTGTCACCCCCAGAGGGACAGGAGTGCTCATTCTGAAGCTCACCAGAGGGACCACAGCAGGGGACATTCAGCTTTACCCAAATTGCACGTTCTAATGTGGCAGCAATTTCGTGAAGTTTCCATAATAACAAACAGCAAAGTCATAAATCAAACTTGGTGGCAGCGTTTGGTAGGTGGCCACCGCGTGGAGGGGACCTGTTACAGGCCTCACGGATGACTTTCTTAGCTTCTGAGCTGGTGGGAACATTCCAAAGGATTTCCCAAATAGCCACAAGGATGTTAGATCAGAGGTGGCAAATAATTCGGCTCTAGACCCCAAACTCACTAGAGTTCTCACTGTAGAAGGAGCTTCTTCCAGGAATGTTTGTTCACAAGTGAATGCTTATATAATCACAAAGATGAAATCAGTGTTCTCTAAAACAACCTTGTAAAGATGCCTCACAACATATCAAACAGAAATAAAGGGCCAGCAAGGCAGGTGTCAGGAAGGGTGCTTGCCACCAAATCCGTCAACCTGAGTAAAATCCCAGAACGCACATGGTAGGAGAACCAATTCCTGAGAGTTGTCTGCTGACCTCCATGAGCATCAATCCATGCATGCATTCCTAAGAGTAAAAGATAAGAAAAAGCCCACAAAAGATGAATTGGGGGACCCAGTTGTGACCCATCGCCTCTACTGAGTCTGTAATGCTCAAGTGTCACTAGGGTGGGTGTTTGGCTTACAGCCCAGGTTGAGAACAGCCACTAAGGGTCTGCTGACAAAGCGAAGGTGTCTGATCTTGTCTGGGCTCAGCAGGACAAAGGCCTTGACGCAGGGTTGGGCCTGTGTTACTGCGCTCCACACAAGAGAGTGAGGATGAAGCCCAACACACCGGAACAGCCCAGACAGCAGCAGCCCTCTGGTCTTCATGACTGAGGAAAGTGAGAAGGCCAAAGGCCATTCAAGCCCAATGGGGTGTTCTAAATAGAAGGAACACCGGGCACTGGGAAGCTTGTCCTGAGCCATAGCTCTGCACAGCAATAACTCTGGTCTGCAATCCCCCACCCCAGGGTGATGTCCATTTCCTGTTTTACTCCTGCTGATAGGATTCCCTGGAAACAGGATAAAAACCATTTTAGACACCAGTTTTCAGAGAAACAAACTGCTTAACATATCCATTTTTGCTTTTAAGAAAAGACTGCAGAGGTCTTTGTAGTTGAGCAGATCTGCGTATCTTTTTGCTCTTTCTCTTGAATTTTGATTTGGGACATAGAAAAAGATGCCTGGAGGATAAAGGGAATAGGAGTTTTCCTTATTTCCCAGGGACCCGAGTTTGATTCCTAGCACCCACACTGGGTGGCTCACAGCTGTCTGTAATCTGTCTAGCTCCAGGGGATTCAATACCCTCTTCTGGCCTCTGCAGGCACCTCCACATACGGGGCATACACTCACATCGACACATACACATGCATTTTCTAGTAAAAATATCTCTAAGCGAGCCGGGCGGTGGTGGCACACGCCTTTAATCCCAGCACTCGGGAGGCAGAGGCAGGCGGATCTCTGTGAGTTCCAGGCCAGCCTGGGCTACAGAGCGAGATCTAGGACAGGCACCAAAACTACACAAAGAAACCCTGTCTCGAAACCCAACTCCCCCAGAAAAAGCCCTCTAAGCTAAAGACACACTAACATTTTGTAGCAGTATTGGGAATAACAAACTTCTCTGACATTTAGTAATTTTGTGCTCTTGTAGTTCCCTTCATATTTACTATTCCGTGAGGTCACGTGTGTAGTTCCCACTCTGCAGTGTCCGAGGGTGCGGTGCTGTGCTGGGGACTGAATCCAGAACCTCACACATTTTAAAGCAAGCACCCTAAGCCATCTCCTTCTCCACTCCACCTCCTCCAACCTTACAGGGTTCTTACATAGTCTCACTGAGAAGTGGAAAGCTGTGTCATGGACGCCATCCCTTGTGGGAACACTAATCGCTGGTGAACACAGTTGGGCCACTGAACAGAGTTGCATGATGAAACAGATTCACACTGAAGACGATGTGTCTTTTCTAATCCCACTTCCTAAAATGCTTCTTACACATTTTAGGAGGAGCTCATTTGGGGAATGCTATTTTCTACATAGGCTTGTTCCCAAACTTTGTGTGTTATGCTGTGGACTGGAGAAATTTAACGGCCACCCAACTCATCTGACACTCAAGTTTATTCCTGGTTTTTGCCAAAACATTTAGCTACACTAACTCCAGGAAGGCTATTTCACTGCTACATTCCCAGGACATTAATAATCTGAGATGGACGGCATGGAAGTTCCTCTCCAGAGAGAGGCTTGAAGATAAGGCAGACAGGCAAACCCCAAGGATATGACTGCATTCACTATCTAAATGTACTGGGAGTGGGGGAGTCCTTTTCCAAGAATGCAGTAAAGTGTGTGCTTTATTTTTATAGTCTATATGCAGAGAACACACACACACTTATGCAAATACACATATGTAAGCATACAAACAAGCCAGTTAAAAATTCCACCTCATTTATTGCAGCTTGGTACATTTCCAAACCCCAAATCCAGGAACTACGAGCTCTTCTTTTAGCTCCCAAGGGGTATTTAGTCCTGTGGAGAGAAATTTAACAAGAAGCACTTTTTTATAAAACCTCTGCCATATAGTGGATCAGATCAGTAATTGTGTATTTATCACTAATTATCTTATGCTGAACTAACTAATGGCATTTTATTGGTTCAATTTTTTTATTCCTATGCTTTATAAAGTCTGTTTTGAAGTCTATTATTTAACTGGAGACGGTTATATTTCCCGGGAGAAGATTTTTGACATGCTGAAGAACAGTCTCTCCCAGCAGTCCCCTGAAGAAGACAATGATGAAGGAATAAGGGAGCTGGTGGAGATAAGCCTGAAGAAAATGGTAAGCAGGGCCGTGGCGTGCACCGCACTCAAGCGGTAGCTGCTGCACAAGGCTGTGAACGAGCAGCGGCTGCCTTTCCTCCACCACGAGTCTTTCCCACGGGCAGTTCTCACTTCCTTCTGCTCTACCCTCCGCCTAGAACAATGCCTCACTGAAAACAGGTGCTCAGTGCATAGGGGATGTTCAGTGACTAGAGAGGCATTATGTAAAATAAATGCTATTTAATTGTTTTAAAATAGTACTATCAGTAAAACCTTATTAATTGGGAGGAGGCTAGAGTCAATAGATGTAAAATTTGTGCTTTTTGTCTTCATGATCTTCCTCTTTCAATTTATCTCAACACTCATTTCAGCAAAATAACAATAAAAATATTTAACCCTTATAGAGTGCTTACTACATAGCAGGCCTTTCAGGGCCCTCTATACTATTCATTCATTTTATCCTTAGAACTATTGTTTCCATTTTGCAGATGAGAAAAACTGAAGCAGATTAAAGCAATAAAGCCTCACAGTAGTGGCTCTTTATTACAACAATATTGATGTCCATTCTTTTCTTACAAGGACCCGGAACTGTTTGTGAATCCGGGGCAGCCCCAGCAAACTCACTGCTATCACTGAGGCTCAGAGAAGAGCGAGCTAGGCATGGCGCTGCACATCTGCAATCTAGCACTTGGATGTCTGAAGGACTGCAAGTTCAAGACCAGCCAGGGCCACACTCTGACACTGTCTCTGTCTCTGTCTCTGTCTGTCTCTGTCTCTGTCTCTCTCTCTGTCTCTCTCCCTCTCTCTCTCTCACACACACACACACACACACACACACACACACACACACACACACACACACGGTGAGGGAGAGGAGAGATGGACACAGAGGGAGAGAAAGACAGAGACAGAGAGGGAGAGAGAGACAGAGACAGAGACAGAAAGAGAGGGACAGAGATGGGAGAAAGATGGGAAACAGAGAACAGGAAGGCCAGCGTCTAACACCTACAGACTATGCTCTTGTAGAAATACTAGCTGCTGCTGCTCAGGCTGAGTGCAGATGCTTTCTTCAGTTACAAGATGTCCCCAAATTCCTATCTGGAAAGGAAATATTTTTGGAATATTTCTTTTTCTGATGGCCACTCACATTTTCCTCTAGATTGGATTCTGAAGTTATGCACAAAAATGAAGTCAGGGACATCTCATCCAACTCAATCTGAAGCAGTCCCCATGCCCTGGATTCTGCACAACACACGTCATCTCTCATAAGCCTTGTCCAGACACTGTGCTGACTTACACCGTTTTCTACTGTGATTCAGGTGGACAGAACTCCGCAGGCTCCCCACACCTCCCTACTTACCCAGCTCTCAACCCCCTAGTATTCTAGCTGGAGTCTGCACCTCCATTCCAGCAATCTAACCCAGCCTGGACAGCCACCATGATAACTCCAGGGGCCTTGCCCTTCATGGCTGTCATTTCTACCTGATGAGCTCCCAAATAAAGCCTTTTGAGGATAAAATTGTGCCAAAAAAAATCTGAGCCACATTATACTTATTTAATTGCAAAAGGAGCAGTAGGTTAATATAGTTCTCCCAAAGTTTTGCATTATTCCTCAGTTCCAGTGTGTGTTATTGACAGGGCTGCATTGTGTAGAACAAAGACGACTCAGGTTAGAAGAATCAACCAGTGACTTCTATTAATAAATACCCAGGGATCTGTGTCAATGTCTTCTGCAGTATGAACTTCTAGTTTTGCTTGGCAGTCTACACAGCTAGTTTTCTATGGCAAAATTAAAGACTTTTATCATTTCTCATGAAATCACTTTTCTCTCTAGGATCATGACAATGATGGCAAGATCTCTTTTGCAGACTTTGAAAAAGCAGTGAGAAAAGACAGGCTTTTGTTGGAGGCGTTTGGACCATGCCTCCCAGATGCAAAGGTAGTCACACACACTGCTTAAAGTGGATGAGGGAAAATTTCATTAAAATTATATAATGTGTGTGAGTGTGTGTGTGTGTGTGTGTAGGGTACACATGCCATGTGCTGGCTAGTTTTATGTCAACTTGACACAAGCTAGAGTCATCTGAAAGGAGGGAACCTCAGTTGAGAAAATGCCTCCATAAGATCCAGCTGCAGGGCATTTTCTTCACTAGTGATTGATGGGGGAGGCCCCAGCCCATGGTGGGTAGTGCCATCTCTGGGCTGGTGGTTCTGGGTTCTATAAGAAAGCAGAGGCAGACCCAGGAGAACTCTCTGTGAGTTCGAGGCTAGCCTGGGCTACAGAGTGAGTTCCAGGAAAGGTGCAAAGCTACACAGAGAAACCCTGTCTCGAAAAAAAAAAGAAAGTAGGCTGGGCAAGCTCCTGCCTCCAGGCTCCTGCTTTAAGTTCCTGTCCTGACTTCCTCCACTGGTAGCCTACAAGTGGACTACAGTTGAGGCATAAGCCAAATAAACCCTTCCTCCCCAACTTGCTTTTGATCATGGTGTTTCATCCTAACAATAGTAACCCGATCTAGGACAACGCCTGTGTGGAGGTCCGAAGTCAGTTTGTAGGAGCCTGTTCTCTCCTGCCGCCATGTGGGTCCCAGAGAATTGAACTGAGGTAGTTGGGTTTCTAAGCAAGTGCCTTTACACAGTGAGCCATCTTGCTGGCCCAATGAAGGGAAAAACGTCAAGGACTAGAAAATAATACACGCTAGCCTCTCACTGTGTAGCTTCAGCCCATTGCCAAATTGCAGACAATCATAAAGTCATCAGCTCATTCCAGTTTGGGGCTAAAGACGGCTTTACTATTTCAATAATTATAGTTAGCAGACTTGACTTAGCCTGCTACCTCTTGGCCACACAAAGAAGGAATATGCATGTACCATGTCAAGCAGGGAAAAAGAAAAAGAAAGGTGTCTTCACACATACATGTGCATGTGTATGTACACACACACACACACACACACACACACACGGGCACAGAGGGAGAGAGAGAGAGAGAGAGACTGGTGTTTGAACACAGCGTGTAACAAAATGAACAGGCTGGGGAGACCATTCAGGATGGAGCAGCCAGCAGCCAGTTCCACTGCAGTGTGCTCTTGTGACCTCTACTGCTGGGCACTCAGGAGGAGGCCGCCTGTCACCTCCTTTCTCCTTCCCTGCTTGCCATGGCACATTCCTTTCTTCTCATGACCCCTGCTGTGTATGTTGGTGAAGATGGATAATCAAACATTCTTCTCACACTCACAAAACAGATCAGGAATGCACTTACGACAGAGAACCACATAACAACTTCTCCCATGAAGGCCCTAAGAGAAGTTTCTGGATTGCTACACCCCGCACACATGGAAAATGATCTTAACCATTTAGCAGTACGGTCCAATCTCCAACCCCTCATCTGTGGCAGCGCAAGCCACTGCACTAAACAACCCCGGTCCTCCTCCCGTCGCTGTCACACACTGTGCCCTGAGGAACGGCGCAGCGCCCGCTTACATCTGAGCAGCCTCATCCCAGAGCGTTTCTTCTTTCCAGCTCAGTGCTCAGCTGCTAACAGACCTTTCACCTGAGATTTCAGCACGGCCATCTATGTAGTCACCTGAGCCCTTGTTGGCAGTTCCCGTGGCATCATCGGGCACTGAAAAGCCACCCTGGCAGAGCTGACTGTACACCATGGCTACTGAAGTCGACCTTATTCTTAGGACACCGCCAGAAAAACCCACTGAAGAAGGCCCTAGGGACGAGCACCGACGTGCGTACCGCACGCGGTGCAGGACGGGCCTCCTCAGTCTATTCTTCCCAGAAAAGAAGATGGAAATAGTACAAAATTACATGGTCCATTGACAGAAGAAGAGCACACATGTGCTGCCAGGGTAGAAATCGAGAATGGCCAACACTGATTAGTCTATAGATTGCCATAGTTCATGTAAGTTATTCTTAGAAGTTACAATAGCATGTACATCTCTAATACCAACTTTGTTCTAACGTTTTATTGGCATTTTTCCCTTCACAGAACTGCCTTCATTTTGAAGCCCTGGTATTCAGAAACAAACCACCTGCTAGTTTTTGAACACCAATTGCTCAAAAACCTGAATTAAAGTCAGATCTTGACTGTCCTTATTTGCATCTAGTTTTGTATTTGTTTCAAGCAATTTAAATATTGTAATATAAGAACTAATACAGTATGAAAAGAACTGTTTCTGCCACATTGAGTGTAGATCCAAAAAAAAGAAAGAAACATTTGCAAACAGTTTAAAAGAAATACAAGGGGCTGGAGAGATGGCTCAGAGGTTAAGAGCACTGACTGCTCTTCCAGAGGTCCTGAGTTCAATTCCCAGCAACCACATGGTGGCTCACAACCATCTATAATGAGATCTGGTGCCCTCTTCTGGCCTGCAGTCATACATGCTGTATACATAATAAATAAATAAATCAAGAAAATAGTTGACAGTAAAACACCAGTAGTGAGATATCTTAGAGAATTAAAACAAAGAAAGGTTCTCTCCAGAAAATACTTATTTAGCTTGGTTGTGTTTGCACACACCTTTAATACCAACACCCAGGTGGCAGAGGCCCAGGGCCAGCCTGGTCTACATAGCAAGTTCCAGGCCAGTCAGGGCTACCCAGTGAGACCCTGGCTCAAAGCGAAAAAAGAAAGAGAAAACAAGACTAAATGGCTAGCAAGCTATATTCTTCTTCTTTGTTTTCGTGGGTGACTTGGATGCACATCTTCCAATCTGTCCTCTGGAGGCTTTGGCACAGATGAAATCACCTAGTTTAAAAAGAAAAAAAAAAAATCACTCAGCAGTAGACAGCAGCAGATAGCAAAAATTGGGACAGAAATGGGTAAAATGTAGACTAAAAGAACAACACATAGAACTAACCAAATAAGGGTGTATTTCCTTTCAAATGTGAGATTAACAAACTAAGGGAGGGAGGGAAGGGAGAGAGGTGGGGAAAAAGTACAAACACACCCAAACCAACCAACCAACCAACCAACCAAACAAACAAACAAACAAACAAAAAACCAACCAACCAACCAACCAACCAACCAACCAACCAACCAACCAACCAACCAAACAAACAAACAAAAAACCAACCAACCAAACAACCAACCAAACAAACAAACAAACAAACAAACAACCAAACAAACAAAAAACCAAGAAAGTTTCAGAGTCCAGTAAAATTCAGAGAATCATTTGGGAAATCTTTGAAAACATATTTCAAAAACCTGGAAAATTACTAGGTGGTGGTGGCACGTGCCTTTTATCCCAGCACTCAGGAGGCAGAGGCAGGCAGATCTATATGAGTTCAAGGCCAGCCTGGGCTAGAGAGTTCCAGGATAGTCAGGACTGTTTCAGAGAAAACCCCTGTCTCAAAACACACACACACACACACACACACACACACACACACACACACACACCCTGGAAAATCTAGAAGAAATGGATAAATTCACCGGGCGGTGGTGGCGCACGCCTTTAATCCCAGCACTCGGGAGGCAAAGCCAGGCGGATCTCTGTGAGTTCGAGGCCAGCCTGGGTTACCAAGTGAGTTCCAGGAAAGGCTCAAAGCTACACAGAGAAACCCTGTCTTGAAAAACAAAAACAAAAAAAAAAAAAAAAATGGATAAATTCCTAGGCAATATATTGATGGACCAGCCTGACTCTTCTTAAGATTAAAGCCATTTTGTTAAAAGGTCAAAATAAGTTCATTCCTGTTTTCTGTAAAACTTGGTTTTGACCATGTCTTGGCCCATTTTCTGGAATTTGCACATTTCACACCCTATACCCTGATCTACACCCTGAGAGGTGTTGGTTCCTACATAACCAAAATTCCTCTGGAAACCCCAAACCCTTGAAAACCTTCCTCATCTTGCAGTTCTTGAGCTATACAAGTCCCACTCTGTCCTGTGTTCAAAGCTATTTTCTCAAACCCCACTTTAGGGAGACAGTCCTGTCTGGCAGAAAACAAAGCTTGCTTAATTCAACTACAAAATTTGGGTATGGTCTTTACTCTTGTTTGGTGGGATTAACAATATGATCTATTAAAATTAACTCAAGAAGCTATAAACAATTTAAATATATCCACAACAAGCAAAAGATTAAAGCACCAATAAAAGTCCCTAGAAAAGTGAAGTTCAGGACCAGTGGATTCACTCCTGAATTCCACCAACCCTTAAAGAAGAGCTAACACCAATGTTCCTCCAACTAGTTAAAAAAGCAGAACATCATCGAACTCATTCTATGAAGCCAGCATCATCCTGATGACAAGTCATATAGGAATCAAGAAACAAGAAAATCATAGCCCAATTCCTCTAATCAACATAGGAATAAAGTTTTCAATAAAATTACTGCAAATTGAATTGAAGAATACATTAAGATCATACAACCATGACAAAGTCAGTTTCACTTCAAGATTTCCAGGAAGGTCCCCCCCATAGGCAAATACAGCACACAGAATCAAGAACAGAAATCACATGTTTATCTCTGTGGTTATTAGAGGAAAACACAGCATTTCCTTTAATATCAGGAATGAAGAGAAGAGTGTCCACTTCTTTCCACCTTATTCAATATAATATTGTGAGTCTAAGTCAGAGCAAAAAGACAAGAAAAATAACAAACAGGAAAGGGAGAAGTCAGATTACCTGTCTCTATTTGTAGACTACACAACCTTATACTTAAGACTAAAGATTCGGGGGCTAGAGAGATGGCTCAGAGGTTAAGAGCACTGACTGCTCTTCCAGAGGTCCTGAGTTCAATTCCCAGCAACCACATGGTGGCTCACAACCATCTGTAACGAGATCTGGTGCCCTCTTCTGGCCTACAGGCATACATGCAGACAGAACACTGTATACATAATAAATAAATCTTTAAAAAAAAAAAAAAAGACTAAAGATTCGTTCAGAAAACTCTTAACTATGATATGCACTTTCATCAAAATATACAAAAATCAACAACAACAAACCAGTAGCTTTTCAATAAAGCAATGAACTTGCCAAGAAAAAAATCTCATTCACAATAAACAACAACAACAACAAAACCAAGTAGGGTTGGGAAGACGGCATCTGGAAAGGTCCTCACCAGGCAAACATGAAGACCTGAGCTCTAGTCTCCTGCCCCAAGTAGAAAGGCCAGCTGTACACCACTAGCCTCGCACTGGGGAGACAGACACAAGAGGTGTGTGACAGCCTGCTGGCCAAACCAGTGGGCTCCAGTTAAGTGAGAGACCCTGTCTCAAATAATGAGGTAGAAAATGACAGCGGAAGCCATGAACACGTACACACATACACACCACACACTTAAAACAAACCCAGGAATACATTTCACCAGGAGGTCAAAGACCTCCATAGTCAGAGCCTTACGCTAGACACTAGAAACTGGCAAGACCTCTTAATTTTATCAGTCTACACTTGTTACTCTGCCCCATCTCCCCCACACCCCAGTGCACATGTGGAAGTCAGAGGAGTGAGTGCTGGAACAGAACACAGGTTGTCAGGCTGGGCAGCAAGTGCCTCTACCCACTGGGCCATCTCACCTGTCCCTGGAAGAACTAATTTTTTTGTTGTTTGAGACAGGGTTTCTCTGTATCCTAGAAATAGCGCTGTAGACAGGCTGGCCTAGAACTCACAGAGATCCACCTGCGTCTGTCTTCTGAGTGCTGGGATTAAAGAATTAATTTGGCAGAATTAATTTTTACAACTACATTTATTCATTTATTTGTGTATGAGGGAATACATATGTGCATGAAAGCCAGAGGAAACCTTGTAGGAGGAATTGGTTCTCTTTTCTGCCCCGTGAGTCCTGGTAACTGAAGTCAGGTTGTCAGGCTTATGGAAAGTAGTACCTTGACCCATGGAACCTTCTCAGTGGCCCTGGCAGAACTCATATAGTGAAAGTGGCTGTATTTCCAAAAGTGACCTGTAGAATGAACACATCCCTATCAAGATATCAAAGCCATCCTTCATAAAATTAGGGGGAAACTGTCCTAAAATTCACATGGAAGTACAAAAGACTCCTGAAGAACTAAAGACTCCTAAGCAGTGAGAGCAAGGCTAGCGATGTAACAACATCTTCTCTCAAATTACAGAGCCACGGTGACAAAAGCAGCACAGGACTGGATAAAAACAAGTCTGCACAACAGCGGAATAGAACAGAGGATCCAGAAATGAGCCTACACAGCTACAACCACGGAATTTTTGACAAAGGATCAAAACCACACAGGGTTAAAAAACAGCCTTTTCAACAAAGGGTGCTAAAAAACTGCATGTCCACATGCAGAAAAACAAAACTTGATCTGTACCTCTTAACACACACACACACACACACACACACACACACACACACACACACACACACAAAATCAATTCAGAGATGGACTAAGGACCTTAAGTAACAAACTCCGAGAACGTCAAGAAAAACAGGAAGGGCATTTCAAGGTATACACACAGGCCGATTTTCTGAACGGACTCTAATGGAACAGCTAATAACCCCAACTGACTCAAGGACTCTCCTGGAACTGAGAGCTTCTGCACAGTAACAGACAGCAGAATGGGGAGCTTGGCCCAACTATACAAACATCAAGTTAATATCAACAATCTGTAAGAACTGCAAAAGTTATAACCTAAAACAACAAATCATCCAATCAATAAATAGGCTAATAAGTTTAATAGATTTCAAAGGAAGAAATACATATGGCCAATAAATATTTGAAAGTGTCCAACATTATTAGGCTTCAGGGAAATGCAAATGAACATATTATGATGCTATCTCATTTCAATTAAACAAATGCAAACTAAAACTGTATTGGGATTTTACCTCACACCAGACAGAACAGTCACAATGAAGAAACAAACAGTAGATAGACTGGTCTTACTGGGTTTTGTTTTTAAAATGGAGTCTCATTGTGTGACTTTGGCCTGGCCTGGCCTGGCCTGGCCTGGAACTCACTATGTAGACCACAATGGCTTTAAAGAGATCTGTCTACTTCTGCTGGCTAAGTCTGCACCATCAAACACATCTGGGCTTAACATTTTGAAGCATTTGTAATATCTGCTAAGTCTAGAGACAGGACACTTTTAACCCCTCTGTAGACCAGGCTAGCCTGTGAACTCACAGAGATCCACCTGCCTCCACCTCTGGAGTGCTAGGGTTAAAAGTGTGTGCTACTGCCCAGCCCAATTTTTTTTCATCTCTTGCACCGAATGGTCCTGTCTCTAGACTTAGCAGATATTACAAATGCTTCAGGATCTCTGTGAGTTCACAGGCTAGCCTGGTCTACAGAGAGAGTTCCAGGACAGCCAGGGCTACACAGTAAAATCCTGTCTTGAAAAACCAAAACCAAAACCAAAAAAAAAAAAAAGGTACAATCCTCAGCTCCCAGGGGGTCAGGGGAAGGATGAATACTGAATACATTGTTGTTATTCCATTAGCCAAAATAACTATTAATAGTAAGTCAAAAGCAGTATAAGACCATCTTGATTTGAAATGGAAAAATACACGGTAAAGTATATGAGGTATTTCTTTTTTGTTGTTCTATTATTTCTTTGTGTGAGATGTAGACTTTACACTTTAAAAATGCGGTCAGCCCTGACTGTGACAGCTGTGACTCTGTATCTATGCCTCAGTTCAGTACACCTGAGGACATACTGTGCTGGCATACACTGAAAAACTTAGGTAGGCTTAAACATAAAAAATGATGTTCATAGCCAGGGCGGTGGTGGCGCGTGCCTTTAATCCCAGCACTTGGGAGGCAGAGGCAGGTGGATCTCTGTGAGTTTGAGGTCAGCCTGGTCTACAAAGTGAGTTCCAGGACAGCCAGGACTACACAGGAAACCCTGTCTTGAAAAACAAACAAACAAAAAACCCAAAAACCTATGTTCATACACTTACTATTTTAAGCAATCCCTCATCCTTTACCAAATAATCAATAGGTGAAAACAAAACTCTCTATAAAAGGAACAAGGGCACCTTAGCCTCTCTTAGTCACACTGCAAAACGGGAGAGCATCTGTGTGAGCAGGACTCTGAACTTGAGAGATAACTGTAAGAACATGCTCACAGCCCTCCGTGTATGATTTCTACAAGGCCCATCTTCACTCCACAAAAAGAAAGCTTTCAAGAGCTACTTCAAATTTAACTTTCTTTTGTGTTTAGGAAATGGAGAATCATGTAAATAATGGGGGAAAAAGACAATCTGATTTCCAACTAGTCCAAATCTTGTGAGTTCATATATAAAGTACCAAGTGTAGGGCAATTGAAGACTTAGTCTTAGAAATCTTGCCTTGTGGGCTGCGGATGTAGGCTTGCAACAAAATTAATTAACTGATTAATTAATTAATCAATCAAAATCATTTCTTCTTTTATGGATATCTATCATAAAAACATTTTGACTTTGATGTAATCTGCAGTAACTTTGAATTTAAAAGAAATAATTGATTATAGCTGTCAATTTTGGCTTCTGTTACTACTACCTAGGGAAGCTTTAAAAGGGGAGGGGAGGAGCGACATCTGGAATCCACTATCATATCTGACCGACTGGAACATTTAGTATTTTGTACCTATACTGACACAAAATGTATCTGTTCATTGTTAAACCAAGAATTACCGCCAAATAAAAGATATTGATCAAATTGTTATTTTAGAAAATAAATGTAGGAAAATACATCAAAAACAAAAAATAAAACAAATAATTACAATGTTTTAGTTCCTCCAAATAATTTCCTATATAGTTGTTGGTCCTACAACTAAATTCTCTTATTTTAAAAACAAAATTAGCTCACCTCTTTAAGTTTACTCCGAATTAAGTTTGCTGTTGTATTCAAGGAATCATCCTGCAGATCCACTGTGGGAATACCTGGTAACTTAGGTCCAATCACAGGCTCGTTACTGCCTGTGTCTGTTTCAGGAAAAGTTCCAAGCTCGCGAGCACAGTCTCTCCTTCTTTTCCTCTCCTGCAGCTGTGTTGTCCTAGGCATAAATCTGCCAACTGACTCTGAGGTAGTAATGGCCTCCTGCACACTAGAGCAAGGTAGTGAATTACTGTAAGTGTTCATCTGTAGTTTTGGGAGAAAGGCACTGTAGTTACAATGCTTTGATAGTTCACTATGGTTCCTACTGCTACTGCGAGAATTTGATGCTCTGTCCACACGTTCCCCAGGTAAACACGTGCTTTGGGAGGCAAAATAGCATAAAGGCAAGTCACAAGAATAAGGGGGACAAGGACTCGAACTCTCCGGGGAAGTGCTCAGAGCAGGTGCACAGAGTCCAGGCGTATGTGGATGGAGATCTTGTCTAGAATCTTTTGTTCCTCTTTGCTCTGGAGCCAGTTTCTTCTTTGTCATGTGGTAGTCTTCAAAGTTGTATTTTTAAAAGTTGAGGGAAAGGTAAACAGAAGGTTGATTAATCATTTTGATCATTCAGAATCTTGCAATTCTAAAAACCAACTTAATGCTAACAAGCTCTACTCCCAGAATTATGTTCTAGAGCAGGGAATACATTGATAAGATTCAGAGGCTTTCTGAAAGGACATGAAGGGTATCGTGTCACGCTCCCCTCTTTCCTTGCTTCCCTTACTTATTTACTGCATTTTCTTATTCGTCTATCTGGAATGTCCCACTGTTTCTCAGGAGCCTCCTTGTCTCCCTACTCAAAAGATAATAAAACCTATTCTTTTACATTTCCCACTACCTGTAATCTTAGAGTTCCCATGCCACTGCATAGAAAGCTTTTCCAGTTTCAGAATGTTCTACTACATGGATAAACCATGTTTAGTTCCTACTCGCAGCAGGAGAAGCTCAGCTGTCATCAGAAATCGGAACTTCCCCATGATGAGTAGCACTTCTAACCGGTGTATAAACCACAGTCGTCTCTTGCTGACTTCATGTCCAACACTGGATTCCTAGCATGGGACATGAAGTACTTCATGATTCACCTCCTGTCTACTTTCCTAATCTCTCACTAAAACCTTGGAATTCTGGTTACTCTGTAGAATTACAGCACCTCGAATTCATGATGGCAGTTTATTGCTCCAGGTGTTTAAACATGTAGCCTGGCTCCTCTTGCCATCCTTTTATTCCCTTTCTGGGTAACATTCACGGAAATTCAGCCATCTCTGACATTGCAGAGAAACAGTCCATGAACCAACACCTCTCCCTTCCCAGCCAAGGCTGTCCAGTGCTGCACGGAACCCCATGGTTCAAGTCACCAGAGACCATGACTGAGCAGGAACTCCACGATGACACACAGGAGGTGTTAACAACAGATTTTCCGTACCTTTGCTCTTAGTAGCTCTTGCAATATAAGCCTTTCTCTCTTCTAATTTTTTTCTAGTTTCTTCAACTGTCTCAAATTCTGGAGCATAGCACACATGAAGTAACCCACCAAAGAAACTCTGTTCATCCATCTTTTTCTTAGCTATCCTAAAGAGAAATACATAATTTAAAGAGAACTCAAAAGAGAAATACATAAATTACATGGCTTAAAAAAACCTGACTTTACCATTTTTACTTATGTCTTATGTGTCAGTGTGTATGTCTGCATGTGGGTATGTGCACATGCGTGCAGTTACCCAGGGAGGTCCAGAGGTAGTGGATCCCTGGAACTGCAGTTACAGAAGTGTAAACCACCTGCCGTGGGTGCTGGGAACCAAACTCCAAACTTGAGTCCTCTGTAACAGCTCTCAGCCTCTGTGTCATCTCTCCAGCCCCCAGATACTGGGCTTTTTTTTTTTTTTTTTTGAGACAGGGTCTTACTATGGTGGTCAGGCTGTCCTTGACTCACTCTGTAGATCAGGCTGGCCTTGAACTCACAGAGATTTGCCTGCTTCTGCCTCCCTAGTGTTGGAATTAAATGTGTGCACCACTACACCCAGAAAGTCATTTTTTATTATTTTTAATTATGTGTATATAGATATGTAGAGGCTCTGGCCTGGAGCTAGAGTTTACAGACACCTGACCTGGTTGCTAGGAATCAAACTCAGGTCCTGTGGAGCAGTACATGCTCTTAATCACTGAGCCATCTCCTTAGCCACGGCTTTTTAATTTAGATTTACCTAAGATAAAAGCTTAACAGGTGTTCCATAGATTTAAGGAACAAAGAATGTGTTGGGGGGAGGGGCGACTGTGGGCTGGGTAAGATGCTTTGTTTTGGATGACCCCACTGACCCAGAAAGTACTCTTAATAAAAAGATTTATCTTATTATTTACTTGTGTATACATGTATATAAGTACATGTGTTCTGTACATGTGTGGGCAAGTACCCTCAGAGAGAGACCAGTGCAAAGGCACCCGATGCCCTCTTTTGCTCCGCAGGGTCCTGCATGCATGTGGGTGTATAAGGTCACACAACCACACCACATACACATAAAAATAAAAGAGAAATAACTAATAAAAAAAAAAGAATTGGTATCTCATAACCATCTTATGATATGAAACCAAGGCACCAGGAAATTTGTAACCGGACCATGTTCATACATTCATCTATAAATCTAGGATTAAGTTGGGATGTCTGACTCCAGAGTCAACCATATCAGGTTCTGTGGAGATATGAAGGCACTTTAGTCACTATGCTTTCCTAACCACGAAGAGCTGGTCATCTGGTGAGAAAGACACACAGCTCTCTGAAGTCAAGTGTTTTTGTGGTGGACTATGCAGCTTATAAAGAAATGTGAAGGGCTGGCGATGGTTTGGCGATAAGACTACTTGCTGATCTTGCAGAAGAGCAGAATCAAATCCTAGCACCCATGTTGGGTGGCTCACAACCACCGCCAACTCCAGCTCTGGGAAATCTGAAGCCTTTTTCTACTACAAAAATATATGAATGGTGGAGGTCAGAGAAAGATACATTTTAGATCAGGTTAATGATTAAAGATAAAAAATGGCTAACGTGAACTAGGAGAGCGCTCAGTGGGTAAAGCACTTGCTTAAGCTTGAGTGTCTAGGTTCAGATCCCTGGCATCTGCATAAAGCTAGGCACTGCTGTATGCCTATAGTCCTGGTGCTGGCAAGGGAGAGACAGAAGGATCATTGGAGTCTGATAGTCAACCATCTAGTTGATGAGCTCCAGATTCAGTGAGAGACCCTGTCTCCAAGAATACAAAGGAACACAGTGTGGTGGCACATGCCTTTAAACCTGGTGGAAGGGTAGGTGGAGTCAGGAGAAGGTTCTGAGTTCTAGGTCAGCCTGGTCTACGTAGCCAGTTCTAGGCTAGCCAGGGTTATATATTAAAACTTGTCTCAATCAATCAATAAGTAAATGAATAAGGGGGAGAACAACTGAAGAAGGCACTCAACATTGACCTCTACCCTACACACACACACACACACACTCACACTACACACACACACTCACACTACACACACACACACACCACACTCAAACACATACCACAACCACACTCCTCCCCACAAAAAGGGTTAACAGAAATAAAGCACTGTTGACTTTAGCCTTATTGGAATACAAGGTTTATGTCATATATAAGTATTAAAAAGAGATTGATCAACATAGAACTGTAACAATAACAACTGCCATTGCTAATATTTACTCTTAATAGGAGGTACCAGTCTAAGCCCTTTACATACATTATTTCACTTCATCCTCCCTCAGGAAACTTCAAGAAGCAGATCTTTTTGTCATATGGATTTTAAGAAGAGGGAAATGTGCTTAGCAGGTTTAAAAAAATTCCAAAGTAATGAAGACATAGGACTCGAAATTTACTTCAAATGTAATTCTGAATCTACCATACTACAGGTTCAAAAACTGTTACGCACAGATATGAGAGGATGGAAACAGTATTTTTGTAAAGTTAACCTTTAACAAAATTGAAGGAAGAACTAGGGATGTAAATCACTGTTGGGGTGCTTGACTAGCACATGTGATGCCTGGAGGGGTAAAAACAAACAAAAAGCTGGGCGGAGGAAGCACACCACCTTTAATCCCAGCACTCTTGAGGCAGAGGCAGGAGGATCTGAGTTCGAAACCAGCCTGGTCTAGAGAGTGAGTTCTAAGACAGCCAAGGCTACACAGAGAAACCCTGTCTTGAATCCCCACAAAACAAACAACAAACAAACAGGAAGACTAAGAGTGATAAGTGTTTGTGTGAGTTGGGTATGTTTGGGAAAAATCCGGGGCCAAAATGACAGCAACAGGAATATAGGGCATGGATACTGCTTAACTTGTACATACCTTGCACTCTGTAATTTCACAAATTTAATGAGATAAACTTCTGTAAATTCTTCAGCTGGGTATTCATCTAGAGCGTTATACTGTTCAATCGCACCATACAGAGCAAATCGCTCAACTAATTCCTTCATGGCTCCCACTGCAGGAACGCCTTGTATCAATAAGTACTGAGATTCCAAATTGATTGTATATACCTTAAAAAAAAAAAAGGCTCGTTAAATGTATTCCACAGACAACCCATGGCAAATCTGTCCCTGACTTTTTAAAAAATGGAGCTTTGAAAGCAAGAAATACTCTGCTCAACCCGGTCTGTAAAACACACACACAAAACCATCACTGTTCTTGGCTAACGGATACCACACTCCACATACGGGTGTACCAGACGTCTTTTCCAAAAGCCGACTCCAGAGAAGTTAATGGAAACAGTCACTGAACTCTCCCCAGAGCTTGTCCTGGGAGAAGCGCTACTGTGAACACGAAGGATACAAAACTGGAAGTCTTGCTCTCGCGGCGTGACGGTCTGGTAAGCAGTTGACGGAGAGTGACCCTTTCTGTGGGCCGGCCGTGGGGAGCCAGTGCTCCCGCCTAGGAGAGCGAGGAAGCCGAAGTCACCCTACCTTGACCGCACGAGGGCGTCGGCCCTCCCGGTATTTGGCCCGCGAGTCACACACCGCCGTCTGGACGTGGTGGTCGAATATGCAGCCCGGCTTCCCGTCACCGGACGCCATCGCGCCGGCCGTAGTCCTCGGCGCCAGATCAACATCCGCCGGACGCGCGCCTCTGTGTCCAATAAGAGAGCAGAATGGGCCAAGCGTGCTTGGATTGGCTGGACCATCGACCCCATCGACAATCCCTTCGCGAGAGCGAGAACTCGATCCGCACTGTGCCGCCCCCTGGAGGCTTGGAGGAGAGATGGGACGGGGGCTGCAGCCGGATGTACGCAGAGGGGGCGGGGCCGATCGATGTTCTCGGGCTCCGACGCCCTGGCCTGCCGGAGCCTGCCCGGGAAGGGGGCGGACTCTGCTCCCGGGTGGGCTGGGGGGGTCGAACCGGGACGATGTGGAGCAGCGATCGCCTAGCGGGTGCGGGGTCTGGCGGGGCGGTCGTGACGGTGGCCTTCACGAACGCTCGGGACTGCTTCCTCCACCTGCCGCGGCAGCTCGTGGCCCAGCTGCACCTGCTGCAGGTAACGCGCTCGCCGGACGGCTGAGCCACACCTGGGGTCGGGCGTCGCTGATGTCTCGTGGGACCGGTGTCTGCTGATCCCTTTCCCGCCCCGGGGCATCGTCTGACACCAACCGGGCTGAGGCGTGAGCGAGGCCCCCCTGCGGGCACGGCCAGAGGTGGCAGCGCCACCCACCCCGAGGCTAGTGCATCCTCTGACCCTAGTCCACCTCTTCAGCTCGGTTAAACCAGACTGAATATGCTAGGGTTCTGCCTCGGCTTTCAGAAGCAGTCCTCACTCAAGGTTGAAAAGCTCTGAGGACCTCTTACATGGTTTATTAAAGTGTTGTCCTGCCAGCGAGTTGCCAGTGCTGCTGTAGAGGCCTCGTTTGTAGATTACCAACAACTGTAGTTGCCAGTTTGTGCCAAAGGTTAATAAGATGTCAGTTCTCCCTGCTTAGGAGGACTTTGAACCCCGGAGGGGTCTGTGGGGAAGGGAAGAGAAGGCGATGGAATTATTCACACCACACACCTTCACGTGGGTAACCAGGATTTCTTGGACCTCAGTGAACTGTCACTGTCTGGATGCTGTCGTTATGGTGTTCAAGGTTATAACCATCGGTGGAAATACAGCATCCAGATGTTTTTAAAATTAGAATATTTGAAATCTCCTAAAATCCTACATGCATAGTACCGGACTACTGGCTCATAAAAGAAATATCTAAGAGTTTGCAATGACTTCAAGTAGCTCACCTTTCTTTCCTCTTGAGCTACTTCTATCTTGCTTTTAAAATCCACCTATCAAAACATACCAGTTTCATCAGAGTCATTCTTATTGTTAATTAGTTTATCTTCACCAAATTGACAGTTTTTAACTCTCTGATTTGTTTTCTTTATGGTGGAAAGAAATCAGTCACTGCCACCAACTTCCAGCTTGGCTCATTCCCCTTTGTCTCTTTCTTCCTCTTTCTTTCTTTCTTTCCTCCTTCCTTCCTTCCTTCCTTCCTTCCTTCCTTCCTTCCTTCCTTCCTTCCTTCCTTCCTTCCTTCCTTTCTTTCTTTCTTTCTTTCTTTCT